CGCCAACGAACCCGGAAGTCTCCCCTCCTGAGCGGAAGTCCCGCCCCTGCTTCCCGGGCGCCTCGTTGGGGCGGGGCCTGCCGCGGACTCCGCCCCTTCCTGAGGGCAGGACGGACCGGTCCCTCTAGGATGGCCCCTGGCGCAGGCGTCCTGGTACCCACCACGCCAGCGGGAGGTCCCCGCCCTGTACCCCCAGGCGCCCCTCTTCGGTGTCCTGGAGATCTGACTACCCTCCATGAATCAGAGCGCTCCTATCTCACGCCAAGACTCGGGTACCACTACTGCTCTCTGCACAGGTTCTAACCCAAATGTCTACTTTTTGCAGACACAACAGGGACTATTTGTCACTTTTTTTTTAACCAAAAGCATCTACAAGACCCGTGTCAGCCCTAGCTGGTTTAGCTCAGTGGAGGGTCTGCCTGCGAACTGAAGAGTCCTGGGTTTGATTCCAGTCAAGGGCTCAATCTCTCCCTCTTCCTTCCTCTCTGAAGTCAATAAAAATACTTTTTCGTTATTGATTAAGGTATTACATATTTGTCCTTATCCCTCCATTAACCCCCCACCCACTCCACCTGGTGTCTGTCTGTGTCCATTGGTTAGGCTTATATGCATGCATATAGGTCCTTTGGTTGATCTTAAAAATATATTTTTTAAAAAGGAAAGGAAAAAAAAGACCCGTGTCAAAGAAAACTGAACTTAATTTGGTCAATCGCAAAAACAGACAAAATGGGAAATGCAAATAAATAAAGAAATAAAAACCACACGCATGGGAAATGCCAACCAGATTCCAAAATGAATCCAACCTAACAAAAATTCTGCTGGCTTTGAAACTGAACTTTCAACTGAAATGATTTCAAACCTGAGACAGGCCTTTTCCAAGTGACCCCATGACCACCGGATTGATTTTTGAAGCCCTTAGCCTTAAATCTCCTCCCTCTTTGTCCTCCAGAGATGTCGCTGTCACTTGGTCCCCAACACAATGCTATTGGAATTAATTCTTAGATCACAGATCAGATAATATAGCTGGAATACAAGCCTTTCCGATATGGGGGCCTCAAAATCTGATGTGCAACGTGAGAAAATGGTATTATTCAATAATTTTATTTACGCATAGTTTTCATATAAAGACATACTGGGTGCATTTATCCTGATAGAAGCAATGAAAGGTGTAGTTCTCCAGATAATTCCTTGGAATACCATATGTACACGGACAACTCCCAAATGTAAAAGATTAGGGAGATCCCTTTCCATTCCCTGCTGATAGGAAGAGCACAGACTTTCTCAGAGGGTGATTTATCTATGTTTCCACAGCTTTAAAAATTCAACCACTTTGACTCATCATTCCCACTTTCAGGGAATTACTCTAAGGGACAGGTTAAGAATAAGCAAAAATATTAAACAAAAAGCTATCTATATATCTATATCTATATCTATATCTATATCTATATCTATATCTATATCTATATATATATATAAAAGCCAAGTGACCAGAATGACTGGAATGACTGGAACGACAGTCGCTATGACACCCACTACGGCTGGCCTACCAGCCCAGTGGGTGCGGGGCCAGACAGCCAACCTCCTGCATCCCTTCTCCCAGGCCAGCTGCCCCAATCATCCCTGACCCCACCCGTGCACAAATTCATGCACTGGGCCTCTAGCCCTATATAATAAAAGGCTAATATGCAAATAGACCGAATGGCAGAATGAACCGTCACTATGACATGCACTGACCACCAGGGGGCAGATGCTCAACACAGGAGTTGCCCCCTGATGGTCAGTGCACACCCACAGGGAGAGTGCCACTCAGCCAGAAGCCCAGCAGGCCTAAGCTGTCAGTCGGACATCCTCTAAGGGGTCCTGGACTGCGAGAGGGCATAGGCTGGGCTGAGGGACCCCCCCACACACACCTCAAGTGCATGAATTTCCTGCCCAAGACCTCTAGTTAATTATAGTACTAGTTGTAATACCAAAAACAAGAAGACAATATAATTGGTGAAATAAATTATGAACACCCACACAATGGCACACTTGCAAATATTAAAAATGTCAGTATGAAAAAGAAAAAAAAATGTCAGTGTGCAATATGTAGTTCTCACCACGTTTCCACTACCACCAGAATGGAGAAAAAAGCAAACTCATTCTGGTTGGAATAAAAAGGCATTCTTTCTAGAAGACGTGTGCAACTTAGAGTAAAAGCTTGTAAATAGGCAGACTCCTGGTGTGCAATGGCTGCAAGCAGCAGCATCCTTGGTAGTGTATGCAACCTGTTGCCAGTATGGGTTGCCTTAGGGACCTTGGATACAGCCCTTTCTGGTGGACATTCGTGTCTGAACCCATGCTGCCCCCAATCTAGGCTCCAAACAGGTATGCGGGGCGCCATTGGAAAGCACCAAGGCACCGTGGCCAGAGTCCACATTGGCCAAGTCGCCATGTCCACCCGCACCAAGCTGCAGAACAAGGAGCACGTGACTGAGGCCCTACGCAGAGCCAAGTTCAAGTTCCCTGGCCGCCCGAAGATCCCCATCTCCAAGAAGTGGGGCTTTACTAAGTTTAAGGTGGGTGAGTTTGAAGACATGGTGGCCGAGAAGCGCCTTATCCCAGATGGCTGTGGGGTCAAATACATCCCTAATCGTGGTCCCCTGGACAAATGGCGAGCCCTGCACTCGTGAGAGTCTCGGTGCTGCCCCCACCTTACACCTACCAATCAATCAATTTTTCAGCCATAAAAAAATAAATAAATAAATAAATAGGCAGACTCTTGGACCTACATAGAGTATACCCAAAAAAATAACCGGGGGGGGGCGGGGGGGAATGAACCTATAAGGCTGTCTGCCAAAGTGTAGCGTATAATAGAAAAGCACTGGCATCAATCCAAATCCCAAATAAAAGAGCAGTTAGGGAACACCCACACAATGAAACCTCCTGCAGCCATTATAAAAATTGAAGAAGAAGAAGAGAACCGCTTCCTCTCGTGGTTTCTATGGTGTCACACAATTCTAGTTTTTCTCTACCCGTCCTCCAGCTCAGCATCCCTTTCCGTAGCCTCCTCCTCCAGTGGACAGTTCTGTGGGGCTCTTGTGCTGCTGCTTCTCTCGGAAGATAACCACATGCGTTCCTATCGCGTTACAGGCCGCCTGTAAGCTGACAACTCCCCAATGTATCTGTGCAGCACAGACTTGCTCTCGTGGATGACTCAAAAGCATCTCCAATTTGTCTGAAAGTAAACTCCCGGTATTCCTCCTAAGGTAACTAATAAAACAATTTTGCATATTGTTTAAAATTGCAGTTGTACATATTTTACCATCTTCCATGAGTATGTATTCATCTGATGTTAAGGAAACTGGGATCCAATCTTCTCCAGTTTTTCTCTAATTCTACAGTCTCTACTTCCTTTATTTCAACTACAGTTCTAGCCATCCTGTAATTACCAGTGATTAGTAATTATCAGTGAGAGTTTGGGAAATGGTACCACACCATGGTTGCTAGCCTTCAAGCTGGCCCCCAATGATCTCTGCTTCCCTTTTCAAGGTTCCTCTCACAATGTGCTAAGGTTGGTTTAGATGATCATTAGCATATGGAAAACTGATGGTATGAGACTTCCAAGATTAGTTTAAAACAGCGATTTTTCAACCTTTCTCATCTCACGGCACACATAAACTAATTACTAAATTCTATGGCACATCAAGAAATTTATTTTTTGCCATCTGACAAAAAATAGGTATACTTCAGATCTGTTCACACTGGACAGCTATTGCTGTATTGGTTGTTGTCATTTTTTAATTTGACATTCTAAGGGAAAAGAGGCCAATGCCCCTGACTAGTCAGGTACTGCAGAAACTAATTACTAAAATTCTGTGGCACATCAAATTTATTTTTTGCCATCTGACAAAAATTCTTGCAGCACACCAATGTGCTGCATGGCACAGGAGTTGAAAGTCTCTGGTTTAAAAGACACTGTATTCCGGTCTGAGAGGCAACCCATCGATAGTCACATCAATTCTTGATATTCACATCAATGTTTGTCTCGCCCCCTCCCTTCCACTCTCTAAAAAAAAAAAAAAAAAATCAATGGAAAAAAATATCCTCTGCTGAGGATAAACAAGACAAAACAAAAGACACTGTGGCTTCCATCTTGCTCTTGTGAGCAGCTTATGGCACGGCCCCTGTGATGAGAAACTGAGTCCTGCCAACAATAGGGAAGTGTTGTTTGGAGTAGATTCTTCATCCCCAGTAGAACCCTAAAATGACTGCAGCTCAGGACAACTGCTTGACTGTAAACTCAAGACTGAGCTAGAAACACAAGCTATAGTGCTCGCAGATTCCTGACTCTCAGAAACTGTGGTAGAAAATAAATGCTTGTTTGGGGGTAATTTTTTACACAGCAATAATTAATACATATGCTAAACTCGATTTCAGCATCTTATCAGGGTCAGGAATGACCTAAGCCAACACCGTGTGAAAATGCTGTTGATCTGTCTGACTACCAGGCAACAGTTGTGATGTCATCAGAATTAGAATCCTTTACTAATGGGGTCTTGCCCATCATATAAAGGGAAGTCCCAGATATAAAGGAACTTTTCAGGTGAGTATATCTATTTCAGCTTTCTTCTTTACTTTCCAGAATAAGGTGAATAACTAAGGGATCCCAATTCCAAATCATTTTTTTTCCCAAATTGTTTCTTGATATTCCTTAGGTCAGCTGACACATTCTAAATGGCAATTTCATGGGGTTACTGAGGCAAAGAGTGGATCACTCCCATTTCAATCTCTGGACTTATCGTTTTCATGCTGGGGCCTCAGCTCCAGAGTAATGTGCAAGAGATGTTAGAAACTTTTTGGTTTAACAATTTTCATACAGGGCTACAAAACTGTACAACCATTTTAGCAAATCATTAATATTGATAAGCAATAATGACCACTTTCTAAAGTTATGCTATAAAATATTTCAACTAAAATATCAGGATGCATACTTAAAAGAATATTTAATACCTCCGAGTTTCCATCCAATTTGAGCTTGTAATGTAGACCTAGAGCAGTTTTAGGGTAACACCGATTTATTTTAAGCTCCCCAAGACTAAACAATGAAATACTACACTGATTAAAATTACTTTTTATGTTCTCTTCTGGGATTCCCTGAGAATGCTTTATTTTTATGTTCATATTCTCATAATCCTCAAATCTTCACCCCTTAAGGCTGGACTTTATTTCTCAAATTATTCAAATGCCATTTATGTCAGAGTGGGTGCTCAAAGGATAAAAATGCAATTTTTAGTAAAATTTTAAAATTAATTTTATATTATATAAAGTATATAATTTTTCTGACCACACAAATCCACCCCCCTCAACAAATCTCATGAATAATGATAAAGGTTTGTTTTACCATAACTCTCATAATCCCTATGTGTCCCCCAACACTCCCCTATTCACCACTCTGTTTATTACAGTTCTTTTTTTAATCATCTAGACCAGGGGTAGGCAAACTTTTTGACTCGATGGCCACAATGGGTTCTTAACCTGGACCGGAGGGCCGGAACAAAAGCATGGATAGAGTGTTTGTGTGAACTAATATAAATTCAAAGTAAACATCATTACATAAAAGGGTACGGTCTTTTTTTTCAATAGTTTTATTCATTTCAAACAGGCCAGATGCGGGCCGTAGTTTGCCCACGGCTGATCTAGACAAATTTGTACCACAATAAAACAGCATTGACAGAGGCTTGGTTTAAAAAGAATGACTAAAAACATATTGTTCTGTAACTTGCATTTATTCTCCACTTCAAAATACATTCTAGGGAACTTTCTGCGTTCGTATTACAACAATGTTCTGTAACTGGATATCCATAGTTAATTTAGCCATTCCCCCAGCTGAAGGGAAATTAGGTGTCTCCAATATGTCAACAGTATAAACAACTCGAAGAATTACCCCGGTATCCAGTTTAATGTTTACAGGGAATTCTACTACTGCTAGCTATGATTTTAAGCTAACAAAAAAAAATATTTAAACTGTGTCTCAGTTCTTTTGTAAAGAAGATTCTACTACCACTTAACCTTACAAGGTTGCAGAGAGGATGAAATGAATTGGCATATTTATGGACAGCAATCTGTAATTGTTACCTGAAAGGTTAAAGTTGGTGGTGAACAGACAGGCTAAACAGGCATCTCAGATGGTGATTAAAGAAAAACTGAATTTTTTTAAGAAAAAGGGGATGGGAGATGGGGTAGCCAAAGGGAAGGGCTACACAGCCCTGAGCCAAAGGGTATTATTGGGTCCATGATGACAGCAAAAATCCTATCTAGTAATGAGGGAATATGTACCCTAACCAATTTGGCTCAGTGGATATAGCATTGGCCTGTGGACTAAAGGGTCCCGGGTTTGATTCCAGTCAAGGGCATGTACCTTGGTTGCAGACACACCCCCAGTTGGGGGTGTGCAGGAGTCAGCTGATTGATGTTTCTCTCTCATCAATGTTTCTAGCTCTCTATCCCTCTCCCTTCCTCCCTGTAAAAAATCAATAAAATGTATTATTTTAAAAAGGGAATATGTAAATTGCCCATCACACCGTCACAAAGATGGAGGTGCCCATAGCCACAAGATGGTGGCGCCCAGTCCCCTCCGCCCTGCGGGAGTCCCAGTCCTTTCAGCCCAGCCGGCAGGGGAGATGGGGGATGGGGGTTGGGGGGCAGAAGCAGTAGTCGCACAGTGTGGCCAGACCCGCCCTCAGCCCCCCAGCCACCCAGGGCCTGCCCGAGGTGCAAGCAAGCCTCAGATGGCTGCTGCCCAGCTGCCCAGGGCCAGCTGAGGCTTGCGCTGCCGGCAGTGGCAGCAGCAGAGGTGTGATGGGGGTGTTGCCTTCCCCTGACCACCCCTGAGGGCTCCTGGATTGTGAGAGGGGGCAGGCAGGGTTTAAATACAGTTCCTCATGTTGTGACCCAACCATAAAATTATTTTCGTTGCTACTTCATAACTATAATGTTGCTACTGTTATGAATCGTAATGTAAATACCTGATATGCAGGATGGTCTTAGGCGACCCCTGTGAAAGGGTCCATCGACCACCAAAGGGGTCGCGACCCACAGGTTGAGAACCGCTGATAGAGCTTTAGGGGATACATGCCTGTGGGGGAAGACAACAGCACCGGTGTGCTCCTTGGAGGGAGAGCAGGCACTGGGTCCTTTGTCCTGAGCATATGTATCTCTTTCTTGCAGGTAGAAATCTTAGGGGAGGGTCTTAATAGGATATTCACCAGGTTCCCAGGTGTGCTCTTTCAGGGTCCTGGTCTCCACTGATTGGCGGGTGCCAGGGCCGCCCTAGGGTCATTAGTCAACGCAGCTGGTCCCAAGGCAGCCACAGCCTCACTCGTCTTGCTTTGGTGCTTTTCTGGGCCTGGAGCTGAAATACAACTGAGGCCTAGATGTTGTCCTTAGGGAGGAAACGGGGAAACGGTCAGGGTGTCCGAACCGCCTGAGCAGCGCTATGAAAGAAAGACCAGGGGTCCAAGCCAGTGAGACAGTGGGGCGGGACAGGCTACCTGGGGATGAGGTTCCCGTATTGCCCCTGGCTAGGCATCTGGTGCGTTTCCGTACCTGGACCATCGGCCTTGCTCTGCTCATGTCTAACATTACCCAATACCGTCATTCTCCTCGCTGATCTCTGACCCTCAGGTCTTCGCTCCTGGGAGATTTGATTCCAGCTGCCGGGCGCTACACGCCACCTTCCCCAATCGGAGTGACTCTGAGCCTGGTGGGAGTGCCTGCCTCCGAAATCCCTCATTCTCCTGCTTCAAGGCGAGAGGATTTTCTGACGGCCGTGGCCGTTCCTTTCAACGGTTAACGGAGGTGAGTTGGACACACATTCCCCGGCGCCCTCGGTACACAAGCGGTTCCCGCAGCTCGGCTATCCACCCCGGCCGCT